ACTCTGCAAAGGGAAGCTGAGATGGGGGCTTTCGCAGATTGTTTGACTGAGACGGGTCTTAAAGATCTTGGTTTCCAGGGATATCCCTATACATGGGAGAACCAACAACGTGTGGGGTCGTACATTGAAGAGAGGCTAGATCGCTTTCTAGCAAATGGTGCCTCGTGGGAGTTGAGACAAAGGGAAAGAGTACTACATAGGGATCAAACAAGATCCGATCACCGCCCTATCTTTTGTGACACGTTGGGTGATGATGATGCGGATGTTAGCTGGGGGTGGTCTTTTAAGTTCGAACCGCATTGGGAAAAGCATGTTGAGTGTGTGGAAAAGGTTAAGGAAGCTTGGATTTCAGCAATAGGGAATTCCATTTCAAAAATTTCCCAAGTACAAGGTGCGCTAGACAATTGGAATCGAGCCACTTTTCCAAATTTCAAAAGGAAGAAAGACAAAATAAAGAGGGCGATGAGGGATCTTCAGAGCAGGGACAGGACAGACGGAGTATTTGAATTGCGACATGTGCTTCAAAAGGAGCTCGAGAACTTGAGAGTGATGAGGAATTGTTTTGGGCTCAACGATCTCGAGCTGACTGGCTAAGAGGTGGAGACAAAAATACAAACTTTCCACCATAGAGCTACATCGAGACGTCGAAGGAACACAATCAGGAAAATTAAGAATGAGTCGGGCGCTTGATGGAGAGGTAATGAAGAGGTTTTACAATGTTTTATGAACTATTTTGTAAACCTCTTTACTGCAGGAGAGCGTCCGATAACCACACCGCTGCTGGACTCGGTGGGAGTACGTGTTAGTGACGAGATGAATGAAGGGCTTCTTGAACCAATTAGCCAGGAGGAGCTCTTTGGAGCGCTGAAGCAGATGGGAAAGAGGAAAGCCCCGGGAGCTGATGGTATGTCTGTTCTTTTCTTCCTGAAATATTGGCACATAGTTGGGGATGAAGTAATCGACATGCTACTAGGAGTAATCGAAAACGAGACTATGCCGCCGGAGCTGAACCATACTTTGTTGGTTCTGATCCCCAAATTGAAAGAGCCAACCATGGCAAAAGAGTTCCATCCGATTAGTCTATGCAATGTTAGGTACAATATGTTGTCAAAGGCTTTGGATAATAGACTAAAAGTCATACTGTACAGGATCATATCCCTGGAGCAGAGTGCTTTTGTACCAGGCCGCTTCATAGTGGATAATGTTATGACAGCTTTTGAGTGTTTCCACACTATGAAGAAGAAGACAAAAAATAAGACGGGATATCTAGCAACAAAGACGAACATGGCAAAAGCATATGACATGGTAGAGTGGTGGTTTTTGGAAGGGGTGATGTGGAGGATGGGGTTTACAGAAGGCTGGATTCGGCTGATTATGCTTTGTGTCCGATCGGTGACTTATGCATTCCTGGTCAACGGGCATAGGTCTTAGGTTTTTACCCCAAGTCGGGGTTTGCGCCAGGGCGATCCACTTTCTCTATACCTCTTTTTATTGGTGGCGGAGGTACTGTCGAACTATAAACCTTTGGCGGTCAGGCAGAAGAGAATCTGGCTTGTGAGTGGCGCGGGGAGCACCAGTAATATCACACCTATTTTGGCTGACGACTCTATCTTTTTTGCTCGAGCTACAGAAAGGGAGAGTCGGGAGTTGAGGAAGGTACTTGCGGATTACCAAAGAGAATCTAGCCAGTTGGTTAGCCTGGAGAAATCCGAGGTGACCTTTGGTGGGAATGTGAAGCCTCACCACCGGTTGGTGGCAAGCTCGACTTTGGGAATGAAGGAGGCGACAAAACATGATAATAACATGGGGTTGGTGACGAAGGTAGGGCGATCGAAGAAAGAGCTCTTCTCATTTCTAAAAGATCGAGTTCGTAAGAAACTATCGAGCTGGAGAGAAAAAGCTATGTCTGCGGCGGCGAGAGAGGTTCTGATCAAGTCTGTGGTGCAGGCTCAATTAACTTACACGATGTCAGTTTTTAAGATCCCATATGGGATCATCGATGAAATTCATGGGATGACCACACTCTTCTGGTGGGGACAACGAGGCGAGGAGAGGAAGACCCCATGGGTGGCAAGAGAGGCTTTGATGTGTACAAAACAACAAGGGGGTATTGGATTGCGAGACCTACGAGGTTTCAATCTTGCTATGCTGGCACGATAGATGTGGAATCTTTGGCAACGTCCGACATCTCTGGTTGCTCGAATAATGAAAGCTAGGTATCACAAGAAGACCTCAATTTTGGAAGCAGAAGTCGGGTATCGACCTAGTTATGTGTGGCGCAGTCTGATGAGTGCCCATGAGTTCTTGGTTGACGGGTTGAGATGGCGAATTGGCAATGGTTCTTCGGTTCATATATGTGGGGATCGCTGGGTACCGTCGACGGAAGGCTTCATAGTTCAGTCTCCCCCGATGGGTCTTCCAGTTGAAGCAATGGTGCGAGTTTGATGGACGAGGAAGAGGAGAAGTGGGACAAGAACCTCCTGGAAAGTTGTTTCCCGTCGAGTATGGTCCAGGCAATCCGCCAAATCCCCTTGTGCAACCCGAGCGAGCAGGACAAACTTATGTGGGCTGGTAGTCGGGATGGACGTTACACGGGTCGGGAGGGCTACAAGACATGGCTAAAGAAGTTCCAGGAGCTCCATGATATAAGAGGGTGGTAGACCTGGGACTGTGGAAATTATTTTGGTCATTAAACCTTCCCCCAAAAGTGAAGGTTTTCATGTGGAAGTTCACCTGGGAGGCTTTAGCAATGGGTGAAAGCGTTAGCAAACGAAACCCCATGTGTAGTGACGCATGCCCTTTTTGCGACCAGCAGGAAACTCATGTTCATGTGTTCTCCGAGTGCTCGTGGGCTAGTAGGCTGTGGCGTACGTCATTAGTTGCACATTGCTTTGAGATGCGAGGAGATTTAAGTTGCATGGACTGGGTTCGTAAGGTGGCAGCGGAGGCTACGGTAAGCGATCTTGGGGATTGGGTTGTGTTGATGTGGTCATTGTGGAAGGAACGTAATGCCTATTTGTTTAATGGGAAGAAGATGGAAGAGGCTGACATTGTTCCAAGAGCTATAACTTACCTGGAGGAGTATCGGCAACACCAAGGCAGCGAGATACAAGTGTCGGGAACAACCATGAATCAATCTTGGGCACGACCAGCGACAGGGAGAGTGAAGGTGAACTCATACGCCAGCTTAGATGACGATGGAGCGGGTCTAGGTGTCATTGTGCGAGACCATGAAGGGAGATTTTTAATGGCAACAACAAAAAGAATAAAGGATGTTCGGGACCCGACGATGGCGGAGGATCTAGCTACCGAGTTTGGGCTACTACTGGCTCGGCAACACCATCTCGAGGCACCTATGTTGGAATCTGATTGTTCGTCGGTGATTAATAACATATGTGGCATGTGGTGGGGATTGTCTATAGAAATATTAAGAAGCTATTAGAGGAGATTGGAAATGGCAGCTTACGCCATGTGAGTAGGAAGGTCAATGAAGTAGCACACATCATGGCTCATACGAAGACGAGATGTGACATATTTGTTAGACCCCCATTGAATATTTTGGATCAGCTTGTAACAAACAATTCTCAATACGTTCCTAATGAATAAAAGCTGAATACAGGTTCAGATTAAAAAAAAAAACGACTTACCCGAACAATACACAGTAAATTTAATATTACTTTTCATCATTACTATATCTCATCCAAATTACCCGACAATCAAAAGCTATCCCACATAGATCTTAAGTGATAAATTTTTCTCAAATCATTAATCGTTATAAGTAAAGGCATCTGATTTTATTTATCCATTTTGCCTATCCATTTTTTTGTCTTGGCCTGAAACTAGCTTTTGGCTCTGTTTTCTTCACCGATATAAGTAGCACTGGTAGCCGTAGCATCATTTTCCCATCCTCCTCTCTCTTATCGTTATTCTGCAATTTACTACTCTTGAGTCTTTTCCTTTCTTTCTTGTTCCTTCCCCTGCCAAAACAGAGTGTTTGATAGTTTCATCCTTCTTCCCTTCCTTCCCCCAATCCCCAACCGAAATTAAACTCTCTCCCACCACCTCCTGAACCAACCCAAAAATTAAAATCTCCCTGTGGCAAGCTTCTCTTCTCTCTGTCTGTCTTGCTCTGGTGGCGGTGGCCGGAGAGATGGGGGATGGGTACGACGAGGAGCAGGAGTGCGACTACCTGTTCAAGACGGTGATGATCGGCGACTCGGCCGTGGGGAAGTCGAACCTGCTGTCGAGGTTCTCGAGGAACGAGTTCCGGGTCGACTCCAAGCCCACCATTGGGGTTGAGTTCGCCTACAGGGATGTCCGCGTCGGGGATAAGCTCATCAAGGCCCAAATTTGGGACACCGCCGGACAAGAAAGGTCCCCATTCTAGTTTCCTCTCTCTTTATCCCTCAATGCCTGGATTTCTTATATCTTTTACTCACTTACTTGCTAATTAGCTGGTGTACATTTCAATACAGACTTGAACTTGTTTAGTATATAAGGTATGGGAAATTAGAGATGATCGTTATTTTCATTTTGATCGTCATTTGGAAGTCGAGAGACCTTTTGGAAAGGTGTAGAAGTTTCACAAATAAAATATTTGAAAAGAATGTTAAGACAGTTTGTTGATCGGATCAAGACGGAAAATACTTGGATTGACTAAAAGAGTATATGGTCGTTTCGTTTTTCAACTCACTCCATTTAAATTACCACAGTGAGTCAAGTGAAGCATGATCCATAGCCAATTCAATATTTTCGATGGCTACTTTCAAAATTATTATACTAATTATCTTATGGTCATTTGTTAGATATTGTCGTCGTTTGATTAGGATATTCAACTTGTTTATATTTTTTGCCAAGAGAGAAGAAAAAAGATTTAGGATATTCGACTTGTTTATATTTTTTGCCAAGAGAGAAGAGAAGAGATTTTGATACACCTGAACCGTATTGATTTATAATGCGAACTAAAGCTGTGTTTTTTTCTTCCCCACGTCCTACTTATAAATAATATTCAGATTTTGTTATGCTTCCTGGTCCCTGACTTGCTATGTATGTAGTTTTACAGCCTCTTCCCATCTACCGTTCTTATGGCTTCGTAATGTTGGATAGCGAGCGACATTAATAGATCCTCTTCTTGTGGTATACTCTACTCTACTCAACACTTCCCCAAAGGACATGAGGTTTCACCAAATAGTGGGTTTGTAGACACTTGACAAGATCTGAACCCTACTATGAATACATTAGAATTATAACACCCTTATATATGTAGAATTAGATGTTCAAAGCTATGGTTTAGTATATATATATTTTACATTTGGATGAATTCACAAATCCATGAATTCAACACTTCTTATTTGTCCCCCCCCCCCCCCGCAATCTCTCCTCATTTCACGCTTATAATTATTTGTAACAAAAATGATTGGTCCCAATTATCCTTGGGCTTGCTTAATTTGTTTGTCAAATGTTAGGCCCACTGAGGAACAAAGTTACATGATTACGTCTGATTTAACTTTCAATCCTTCCATTTCATTCACACCCATCCCTATTGCCTTTCTGATTTCCTAAGCATCCATCCATTATGTTTTTGTTTTGTTTTGTTTTTGCCTGCATCTTTTATATGTTTGTCAGCAATCCACAAATATTTGTTCATGAAATTGCTGTCAGTGTTATAATCTTAATTTATGATTGATTTTCTCATAAACCGGCCCACCACTATAAGCAGCACCTAGTTAATATAATCTATCTCTTAACATGCACCTCACCAAAAAGAGCCATTGGATTATTCCCCCTTAATTATCAGCATAAAGGAAAAATAACAAAGAGAGGATTAATTTACCTAATTCTTTATGTAAACAAAATACTTGTTCAACTGATAGTATTTATACTGCCCTATAACTTCCTATGTGAGTTAGGTGTAAAATAGTGTTGATTATCAGGCATATAAGCACTTTTTCATAAATCTTTCAATTGGCCTAGTATTAATGCGAGGATGAAGATTCGAACCTTGTGATCAATAATACACGAAAAAAATAATTACTCTTTCATTGCTGAAATAATACTTCAGTCAACTCATTTGTGACTCATATTAGTTAACAGAATAACAACTTGTAACGAAATGTTCTTATTGTTGTACTGGAAAATTCAGCAGTAAAATGTTTTATATTGAAATCTTGGTCTAACCGTGATGAAGCATCTTGTACTGTTAAAAACCACCTACCTACCGGTTTGAATTCAAGTAGAAGGCTTTCTCGATTTAACTTTAAAAAGGGCATCGGATCTTTTTTTTTTTTTTTTTATTAATGTAAAGGCATCTCAATTTTACTAATTGTGCTAGCAAAGAAGAAAATTGTGACAAAATTTTCTTGGGTTGTTTTGTAGGTTCCGAGCAATAACAAGCTCATACTACAGAGGAGCGCTGGGGGCGCTGGTGGTATACGACATCTCACGGCGAGCGACATTCGACAACGTGGAAAAGTGGCTGGACGAGCTCCGCGGCTTCAGCAGCGCCGACATGGTCATCGTCCTCGTCGGCAACAAATGCGACGTCGGCCGGCAGCTGCGAGAGGTAAGCGAGGAGGAAGCCAGGAGCCTGGCGGAGGCGGAGGACCTCTCCTTCGTCGAGACCTCCGCCAGGGACAACCTCAACGTCGACTCTGCCTTCCTCGAGATGATCGCCAAGATCCACCTCAGGAATACTTCTCACAGGACTCTGGACGCCGGCGGCAGGGGAGGAGGATCCGCCGTGGCCCCCGTGTCGTCTCTGCCGGCGGGGAGACAGATATTGAGTTTCGACCATCAGGGAAATGAGGGCGCCAAGAGTATTAAAGAGGGTCATTCCGATTCCAGAGGCTGTTGTTCTTTCTAGGAAGAGATGAGAAGAGGTTAGGAAAAAGAAAACGAATATTCCTTTGTTTCTTAATTAATGGTTGGTTGTGGTGAGTCAGAGTTCGAAACGTTTCTGTGTTTTTTGTTTACCACTTCTCACTTCTGTAATTTACACCATGGCTAATCTATATGATGATATTTCCAATTCTATTGTTCCTTAGTTTATATACCGTTTGGTGTAAATGAATTTCATAAGTTTTGAGGAATTCATTTTGAAATGAAATTTTTTTGTATTTGGTATTTAAAAGAATTCATTTGCAATTCTAAATTTTGAATTTACGGAATTGGAACTAGTTATAACAATTCCGAGGAATTGAGATGAAATTTGAATTCCACTAGGATTTATTAATTATAATAGAATGACATAATTATCCTCATTTATTAACGAAATTACTTCTACATCTATTATTTGGCGCCAATTGATACAGTATGAGAAACATCGCCGAGAATTTGATTGCAACGCTAGTACATATGCTAGTTATTTTATATTTTTTGCTTCGATTGTATCAGTACTTTGAGAAGGCACAACTAGATTGTAAGGTTCATCAGGAGGTTAGAATCGAAAAAAAAAAAAAAAAAATGAGAGGCGCTCTCGCCTCTTTCCTCTGTTGTTGCTCGCTGCTCGGGAAATGGCTCTCATGGGCCGCCACGGCCATTTTCGCCGCAAGCTGGAGAAATCAAACGGCAAATGGCTGGTACCTGAAGCAGAATCGGGGATTCATCAAACCCCCTCCCAAGATTGGAAACGAAGCCGCGGAGCTCCAGTCGCCGGGAAAGATCTTGAGGAAAGTGGAATGGCGCAGGTGTCGGCGCCACCACCAAAAGAAACGTTCGCTTCAGTCGATTGAAATTGACGGACCTGAGGAAAGCCCTCTTAAGCGGAGGCGATCTCAACCGAAGAAGCAGTGGAGGTTCTGGCTCCCCCACTCGTCGGAATTGGAAGGGGAGGAATCTGTGCAAGTCCCGTTCGCGGGAGAAAAGTCACCGAACCCAGCAAATTGGGTTGAACAACATGTTCCGATTGCAGGCCTAGGTCAGGGGTTGGCCATCGGGGAAGGGATTGACCCCTTGAATTCGCACTTGGGGTGTTCTCAGATGATTCATTTGCCTGTGGGAGGTGTTACCCCCGATGTGATGTCGGTGAAGACACAGACGCCAGTCCAAAAAGCGTCCATCGCCGCAGGGGAGAAAATGGATGGGCCGGCGGCGTCGAGCCCTAGACTCAGCTGGTGTGGAGGCGAAATACACGGGCGGTTACGATTGAGTCGTATCCTAGGACCCCTCTTCTGGTAAGCGCGATTCTCGGGACAAATCTCCGTGGAAGCCGAATTACCCCGCGGCAAAGGTATCCGAGTCCCAATCCAATTCGTATTTCTAACCGCCCTTGGGAATCACTATTCCACCTGGGAACCATAGAGTGTCTTCCCTATAAAACCCAGAGACAGAAATCAAAGCGGCTATCAACAAGCGAACCGTGTTGGTCGCTCTCCCCAGAAACCAAACTGGTGACGAAGTCCAAGAAACAGGGGGCTGCTTCCGATCTCGCTTTAGGTAAGATTTGCTCTTCTTCTGTCTTTGGTGTGATGGGAGAACCCCCTAACCTCGGGAGCGGCATGTCCCCGACGATGAGGTCTGTGGTTTTGCTGCCGGAAAGCTCGGAGGTGTCGACCCCGGCGGCGGATGAGGAGATGGCCCTGCTGGACGCCTCTGTTGCGAAGGAGACGCCAGCTCTCGGGTGCATTCGGCCCGCAGTGATAGCCCTGGAAAGCGGTGCAGGGGATTTGGGCCCAGCGGGTATGTCTGCCCCCTTGAGGTTTATTGGGCCGGGACCTGCCTTCGGGCTCCATAGAAGCAATTGGGCCGGGCCAACAGATGCCAACAGATGCCTCCATAGAAGCAATTGGGATTTGGGCCCAGCGCCGAGTGCAGGAATATGCGGTCCCTTGGGCCGGTTGGGCCAACAGTTGCCTTCGGGCCCAATCCATCTGTTTCATTAAATCACTTGTCCATTGGTTTAAATCTCAAGTCCATTAGGCCTTTGGGCTTGCTGATTTCGAGCCCATTGAGGAAAATACCTATTTGTGATGCAACTAATGATTTACTTGTCTATGATTGTCAGGTGACTATGACGTCGCGAATTGCTGAGGATCAAGTGGTTGAGTTCTCACTTGAGGAGGTTCAATCGGTGAGGTTTCGAACCTCTAGGACCCTTCTGGGAAGGCTCTTTTCGGAGGCCAAATTTACTACTACGGAGCTGAAAGAGGGACTTGTTGAAGCATGGCGTGTGAGAGGAAACCTTAGGGTTACACTCACGAAATTTGGCTTATTTGAAGTGGTGCTGCCAAGTGACGAAACAAGGGTGTGGGTCCTGAAACGGACGCCCTGGATTGTCAAGGACAGGATCTTCCATCTCCGGTCCTGGACACCTTCCATTTCCAGGAACACATTTGACGAGTTAGCCTTTGTCCCTTTCCGGGTCCAACTCTGGAATGTGAAAGATGACTGCTGCACGAAGCAGTTTGGCCAGAAAATGGCAACGGGGAAGATTGGTCAGGTCTTGGAGGCAGATGTCTTCGCGTCCAAGGAGACGGATGAGCTCTTTGTCAAAGTGCACGTGCTCATTAATTTTGCTAAGCCACTGCGATCTCAAATCATGGCGGTAAGCGAGGAGCTTGGCGAGTTCTGGGTCAATCTCAAATATGAGTTCCTTCCAACCGTCTGTTTCCATTGTGGGCGCGTGGGCCATTCCAAGCGTGACTGTGTTTTTGACCCCCCCTCCGGGGAAAGAACGCTTTGGCCCTCACATGTCAACCAGGAAGCTCGGGCGGAAGATATACATGGAAGAGGAGGACTTTTCAAGGTTTCGGGATACAAGTAAGTCGGTGTGGATCAACAGGAATGTCCACCGGCAAAATGATGGGAATGCAAGGGCTGCCATGGGGCGAGTGGAGGAGGGGCCGCGGGTGCCCTCTACGAATACGCAGGCGCAAGGGGCGCACCATAGGTCTACAGACCCAGCAGGTCAAGCTAGCACGAAGACTCAGCCTAGGCTGCGAGAACCAGTCAGCTAGAGGGCCAGGAACCATACTAGCCCAAAAAGGTTTAGCGTTAAGAAGTCTCCCCGAGTAAAGGTTGGGGGCGGGGTGAGGCAATCTCAAAAGAAGCGGTCACCCAGGAAGATTACCAATCTTGCTCCTCAGGCAGCTAAAGGCCGCCAGCAGCCTAGTAGGCGCATGAAGCAGGCCCCCCACCCACAGATGGAGACTAATCCGGTGGAGATAGTTCTTGAGCAATCCAGAAGGCGCAGGCTGATTTTGCAGGACGAATCTGAAGAGGAGGAGAATATGATCCCTGAGCCTAGATTGCAGAAGGCTGCCCATATGACTGTGGCCAAGTCAGGGGGCATGGCAGCTCGGGGTCGTCTGCGGTTGAGAAAAGGGGGAGCTAGCTCCACACTGACTGTGTCCACCCAAGTTGAGGAGGATACTCCAGCAGGTGCAGTACGTGAGCTGGAGGATAAGGAGGCTGGGGATAGCTTTGATAACCCCAAAGCGGTGAAACATCAGCAGGTAGCTGACTCTGATGAGGATCAATCGCTGGAGGAAGCCCATTCTTTTGAAATCAAGCGCAGGTCACCCACTGGTGCCTCCAGGAAGACCTCTCATGTTATGAAAGACCATGTTCATCGTGTGGTGGAAGCATTTGAGGCTGGACTTAGCATTGGCCAAGTGGAGACTCCCTCCTGGAAGGAGGCGAGCTTGGGACTGAATGAGTATGGGTCTAATCTGGAGGACCCATTAATGGAGAATCGGAAGCGAGTGATCGAGGAGGTGGAGGGGGCTGTGGGTGACCCTCCTACACCGAAGAGACAATTTGTTGAATCAGTGGATGCCCAGGAAAAGGTGGAGGAAGCCAGCCTAGAGTGGCCCCCAGTGGATAAATGAGGCTGGCCTGGAATGTGAGAGGAATTGGGCCATCCCTCACCTTCCATTCAGCTTTAGGGCTTGTTCATTCTAATAAGCCGGATGTAGTGTTTTTCTCTGAAACATGGTCGAGCCGGCGTGTAGTGGCCCGCCGTATGCGGGGTTTAGGTTTTGAGAATTCTCATTGTTTTTTTGTTGATGTAGTCGATGCATCGGGAGTGTTAGTTGTAGCTTGGGCCCCCGGGGTTAACACTTCGGTGTTTTGTTCTTCCAATTTTTATATTTGTTCACAAATTAATGAAGGTGATTTTTCATATTTGGTGTTTTTTGTTTACATTAGTTGTAATGTTGTTGTTCGTGATAGCCAGTTGGCTCATTTGCGTGAAGTGTGTGGGAGTATTCACCAACCATTCGTGATCATTGGTGATTTTAACGTTACCCTCCATGAAAGGGAAAAAGATGGGGGTCGGGCTTGGAATGCGGCTCAAGCCAACAACCTGCAGGAGTTTGTCCATGAGTTGGGACTCCATGACCCAGGATACCAAGGGGATCAATTTACCTGGACCAACAAGCGAATGGGGGAGGCGTGCATTCGTGAACGGTTGGATAGGGCCCTTTGCTCCCAATCCTGGATAGATATGTTTCCGGAGACCTTGGTCAAACATTTTACAGATCAGGGGTCAGACCATCGTGCCCTCCTTCTTGCTGATAAACCTTACAATCGGAATAGTCGGCCTCTTTTCCGGTTTGATGCTCGTTGGGCGGAGAACCCAGAGGTTAGGGCAATGGTCCAGTATGTCTGGCAGGAGGAGTTGCAAGGTACCCCCATGTTTCGTCTTTGGGAGCGCCTCAAGAAACTCCGTCACCTGCTGAATGATTGGAGTAGGGCGGGCACCACTAACTCCTTGCGGAATATTATGACCCTCCAGGCTGAGGTTGACCGGGTCAAGTCCATCCATCCGGTGGATTGGGATGCGGTACGATCCCTGGAAATGGAGCTATCTCGTCAGTGGGATGCGGAGGAGTTATACTGGCAGCAAAAGTCAAGGGTCCGATGGCTAAAAAGAGGAGACCAAAACTCAGCGTATTTCCACACGGTTACGCACGCACGTAGGAAAAGGAATTTTGTCGCTGGGCTCCGGGATGATGAGGGTGAATGGGTTACGGAGGAGAGCGGGAAGGCTAGGATTGCTACCAGCTTTTACCAAACTCTATTTACCTCGGAATCCCTGGTGCTAAATATGGCTGATAGGGTGGCGAGCCTCCCCATTACCCAAACGGTTACTCCGCAGATGAATGCGCTGTTAACGGCGGTGGTTTTGCCGGAGGAGGTTCGGAAAACGGTCTTTTCTATGGGATCGAAGCAGGCTCCGGGGTCTGATGGCTTTACTGGCAAATTCTTCAAAGCATTCTGGGATGTTGTGGGTGCCTCGGTGATTGAGGCGGTTTGCTCTTTCTTTTCGACTAGTCGAATGCTACGGAGATTTAACCATACTTGGCTTACGTTGATCCCTAAAGTGGATTCTGTGGAAAATGTCCGCCGGCTGCGTCCGATCAGCCTCTGTCAGTTCGTTTATAAAGTTATAACAAAGATTATGGCTGAACGGCTTGCGGGATTGCTCCCTCAAATTGTTTCTGAGGGGCAAAATGCATTTATAAAAGACAAGAAGATTATTGATAACGTCCTTCTTGGGCATGAGTTAATGCATTATCTTAACATAAAAAGGCAGGGGAAGAAGGGGTACATGGCTCTAAAGGTTGACATGGAAAAGGCCTATGATAGAGTCGAATGGCCCTTCCTTCTGGCAGTTTTGGATAAGATGGGTTTAATTCTGTCTGGCAAGGATGTGTACATGAATGTCTTAGATCCGTTACTTTTTCGGTTCTGATGAATGGTACGCCTTCGGGTTTTTTCGCCTCCTCTCGGGGACTCAGGCAGGGTGATCCGTTGTCGCCTCTCCTGGTTGTGCTTTGCACGGAGGGGTTTGCGGCCCTTCTTCGGAAGGCGATCTCGGAAAAGAAGTTGGAGGGGGTGAAGGTGGCGCCGCGTGCTCCTAGGATCTCGCATCTGTTCTTCGCGGACGATTCCTATCTATTCCTGCGAGGTTCCCTTCAGGAGTGTGAGAATTTAATTGTGGTGCTCAATGAGTATGAGGAGCTCAGTGGGCAGCGGGTTAACCTGGAAAAGTCGGCAGTCTGCTTTAGCAAAAATGTTGCCTTGGCTGATCAGGAGTTTTTGGCTACGATTCTTGGGGTCGGTGCAGTAGGGGTTCATGATAAGTACTTGGGGTTACCCACGTTGATTGCCCGATCCAAAATTGCGACATTCAAGTATCTGGAGGAGAAACTACTGGCGCGTCTGCAGGGGTGGAAGCAGAGAACTTTATCTTGGGCGGCTAAAGAGACGTTAATTAAATCAGTTGCTTTAGCCTTGCCCCTGTATGTTATGTCATGTTTCCGGTTGCCCCTCTCCCTTTGTCGTTTGTTGGATAAACATGTGGCCCGTTTCTAGGGATGGCAATGGGGCGGGTTTGCTTAAATCATCCCCATACCCATCTTCAAATAGTCAAACCCATACCCATGCGGGGAATGTTTTGCAAACCCATCCCCATACCCGTGGGTTTCGGGTACCCATGGGTAATACCCATACCCGTACATCCAACATTATTATACCTAAAACTTACAAGAAAATTTCTAATTATAATTCTAAACGAACATATTATATCATGAAGTCAATAAAACACGGTCATTTTTTTAATATGGTTCAAAGATTATGATTCTAAAATATCCATTAATACATAATATAGAGTATAATATTTTTCATATTATTATGTTCTAACTCTGATACATCTACTAAACAATAAATAACTAACATAATCTTGTTGACAAGGGGGAAAGTGAAAAGAGAATTGAGAATTGAGAGAAATGAATTAGATTTTGATTAAGGTGGTCAATTAATTGCATTTCTACTATTTATTTTCTCAAGTTATCCTCATCGTCATTGATAGATTATAATTTGATGCATATATTTTTTTATATATGAAGAAATTATCTTGGTGGGGCGGGTATGGGGCGGGGGAGGCTAAAACCATACCCGCCCCATACCCATCAAACTTTTTGCGGGTTTTACCCATACCCGGTCAAAGCGGGGAATGTTTTACCCATACCCGTCCCATACCCGGTCAAAGCGGGGATTCCCCGCGTTGACTGGGTCGGGGACGGTCGGATACCCGCCGCCATGGGTTTGAATGCCATCCCTACCCATTTCTGGTGGGGAGTTGAGGATGGTCACCCCAAAATTCGGTGGGTGTCCTGGCGGAACCTTTGCCGGAGCAAGCATGATGGGGGTTTAGGTTTTCGCAGGTTTGAACATTTTAACCAGACTCTCTTAGTAAAGATTGGCTGGCGTATTCTCCATGAGCCGAACTCCCTCCTGACCCAGGTATATAAAGGGAAGTACTTTCCTCGTGGATCTTTTATGTCTGCTACTGCCCGGTCTAGGCCTTCGTGGGGTTGGCAGAGTATCCTGTTTGGGCGCCAGCTTTTGGAGGCAGGGCTAAGATGGCAGATAGGCAATGGCCTCTCGGCCTCCCTTGTTCATTCTAAATGGATTCCTGGGCTTCAGCTGGATTCCCCTTGCTATAATCCCCGCATCCTGCCATCTGGGGGGGATCCCTTGGTGGCGGAGGTTATTTGTCAAGGGGAAGGGCGTTGGGATGAGAATAAGCTTAGTCAATGGTTTGACCCTTCTGTCTGTTGGGCCATTAAGGCTATCCCACTTCCGAGGCGGAATGTGGATGATAAACTTATCTGGCATAACACTGCTGATGGGGTGTTCTCGGTTAAGACGGCTTATCATCTGGCAGTTGAGCTTGACAGGAGGAGGGGTGGGTGGCGGGAATCGGTGAGTTGGATGGATAGGAAAAGCTGGATCCGGTTGTGGGAAGCTAAGATCCCTCCAAAGCTTAAAGTCTTTGTCTGGCAAATTTTGAATCGGGCCCTGCCAACCACATAGGCGCTCATTGAAAAGAAGGTTCCTCTGCTGCCCCGGTGTCCGGTTTGTTGGGATGGCCCCGAGACGATGGAGCACTTGTTTCTCTACTGCCCGGTGGCGCGGCCCCTCTAGGACTACTCGGGGTTGGATTATTTAGGGGAGGCTTTGCCTCGGCACACGTTTCCTCTGTTTCTAAAGCGGATGCTTTCCCTTGTCCATGATTCGTCGCTGTTTATGGCGGTGGTTGCCATCCTCTGGCGGATCTGGCGGTCGCGAAATTGGGTTGTATTTGAAGGCAAACAGTTTGGGATTCCGGCTTTAATGCGCCAATTTCACCAGCAATATGAGGAATGGGTGGGTCTGCCGGTTGACCAGCAGCCAAGGATGTCTTTCCGGATGGTCCATCCTGGGACCCGCGTGGATGACTCTCGGTTGGTTTGCATGTAGGACGGCGCAACTAGGAGGGGGTCACACTCGGCTGGTGGGATGGATCTTTATGATCCGAGTAGGACGGTCATTCGGGCTAAAGGTGTGCAATTTGCACGAATGGATGAGCCGATGGTGGTGGAGCTGCTAGTGCTGCGTGAGGCTATCACTTGGTGTTTAGAGTGGGGTTTGGCCGATGTTCGGTTCGAGGAGGATGCGAAGGTCATTATTGACAAGATTAATCAAGCCGATTCGCGCGACAATCATTTGGGGGCAGTCCTGGAGAAATTTGTCAATATTTTGCTTCCCATCCGGGGTTTAGTGTGCGGTTTGTAGATCGGGATAACAATAGGGTAGCTCATTCAGTAGCTAGAAAAGCCCTCTCTTTGTACCCGAATGGGAATCACTTGTTTGATTTCAGAGTCTGGCTGCTTTCCAGGATGTAACTATCGTTTTTGATTTGGAGTAATATATGATATCTTTTGAAAAAAAAAAGATTGTAAGGTTCATCCACGAAATATTAGAAAAGAACTCATTAATAGAATAGGAACACACAAGAACACTTTTGATATTCTACGTACGAGACCAAAGACTTTTTTAGAATATAAATTTTTAATGAATATCGTTTTTTCCAAAAATAAGAGTGTAGTTAGAGAAACTTTTAATTTAATTCAATTCTAAACATATACCAAAAAAAGTTTGAGAATTCAATTCATTTATTTCTATAGATTGAATATGAGTACCATACACAGGAATTCATTTGATAATGAATTCTATACAGTAACTCATTTTAAAATGAAATGAATTCTCAATTTATTTGGAACCAAACAGTCTCTTAAGGGTTCATTTGGATAACATCATTTAGGGCGTGGATTCATTGAATACGTAGATTTTGTAGACAATTATGTTTTTATGTTGTTTTTTGTATTGTGAATTTTAGCTTTGGAGATTTCAAAACTCTAAAATCTATGGATATCAAATCTCTCATAATTAGAGAGATTCTATATCTTGATTCGTGATATTTTTTATAAGTGTCAAAACATAACTCGACTCGATTAACCCGCCCGATCAACCCGACCACAATCCGAATTGATTAAAAGTCAACAACCCGTAATCCGCTCGACCCGCAACCCGATTGACCCGCAACCCGATTGACCAGCAACCCGACTTACCCGCAACCCGATTAACCCGAATCTGATTGACCCGCAACCCGACTGACCCGATCCCAATTGGCCCAAACCCGACTAACCCGTAACCCGACCAACTCAACCCAAACTTCACCTAATTCACTTGAATAATTATTATAATATACAATACATAGTTTTTCAAAATAAAATTTTTCATTCTAAACTTAAGTAAAATTATTATTTTTCATTTTGTATGGGGAATTTAAAAAATATGAAACTCACTTGATATTATGTATTTTAAGAAAATTACAAAAATTGAAACATGAAGGTCACTTGAACACTAAGTTGTTTAACAAAACTGAAAAAGTAAATATAAAATCAACATACTGTAAATATTAATAATGAAGAATTAATAATTGAGATCATGAATAATATTAATATAATATATAAATTAAAATTTTGGTTAATTTAGCTATTCAATAAAATTATCAATTATATACACAAACACATGTATATATGACAGATAATATCTATCCTCGTCGTGGCCAGCCTTATTAGAGTTTAGATTACAAGGTTGCAGTGTTTACAAACACGACCGGAATTCTCAAGCAATCAGTAGTAAGGAAACGAGACATATGTAATATGTGAGACATGATGAGGAAGTTGCTCGTTAGAGTTTATGATATTGTCGCAGGATGATAAAGAAGTTGTATTTCTGTGTTTCTCTATTCCATTAGTGAATTCCTGACAGAGAAGCAAGGATGGAAAAGAAAGTGGTGAGTAAACTCTCAAGAGCAGATGTAATTACCAGAAATGGAGGGAGCCCAAGGGTTGTAGCTTCCATCGTACTTGCCTCGCAAATCCTCATACCTTGGAATTGGAGTAGGCCAACAAGAGACACTGGCCTGCATCACCTTCCAAGAAGGTATACCTCGTCTCACTTGAGCGAAGAACGCCATCTCTTCCACACTCGTCGTCAAATCACAGGAGTAGATACCATACCGCTCGTTAAGGGGGTCGACATATTCCAAGAAGACAATTTCCGGCTTCTCCGGATGCAGGTCACGTAGAAAAAAACACTCAAGTCTATAGTTACCCCTTGTTGCTGCTGAATTCACCGACCCTTGGTATTGTTTCCTCCAAGACTTGCCATCTTCTTCCAGCCTCCATACCGCTAATTGGCCAGGCGCCCGCTCAATTGTAACCAAGTGCAAAGCACCCTGTGAGATGGCAAATTTCCAATCATCTCCTAGTGGCTCCACAATGTCTGAAGCATGCGTATAAATAGTGGGAGGTAGATCAAGGCGGAAAGGATGAAGCGCAGCAAGGATAAATCTGGGTCTGCCCCTAGCGCGATCATAATGAAGATATGAGGCAAGAAACTCCCCATTGTGCGAAGTTATTCTCGAATCCAGGATTCCAAAACCACGATGAATAACACGGGCGTCCTTGGTCCATTTTCCAGACTCGGAACAAAACGAGTCCAATCTCAAAGCAATGCCCTGGGTATACATACAGAGCACCCGGAAACGATACTCGGAAGAAAAAGCAAATGATTGGCCATTTCCTAGGTCGAGATTCACAGTAGCAGAGCAAGTGCGGGGTTCAGCGACTAACCTTGCACACGGCGCAACGTATTCCAATGTCCTTTCAGGTGCTAAAGGGAGCGCGACCCATTGCCTGGTGAAGGGATTGCAGATAATGTACGATCTGCCCCATTCGAGATTTTTACCACCTGGATCCGTGAACCCACACAAGACCAAGTCCTTGAAGCAGTCCCAAACTATGAAAGACCCCTGCTTGTCTTCATCGGTAAGCAGGGGCGGGGCGGGAAAGCTGTGAATGATTGCTTGCGTGTCGTGATTGCTGAGAAGCAGAGGTTGGTACCTGCTCTGGTGGTGTGAAACGAAACGGCGGTTGAAGTAGGCGTCGGAGATCAGAGAGTTCCACCGCTTGCACACGGATTTGCAACGGCACGAGTATCTAGGGTTCGGGAGGCGAATTAGAATTTCTACCATGAGACTGTCCTCGAGGCTGCTGATGGGGTCTCCTAGTTTTGAACGGATCATCCCCTTTCGTCGCCCCCTTTGGAGACGCCATTTGGAGGCGACGGAGTTGCGACCCGAGCTGCGGTTCTCGGTCACCATGGCGACGGCGGAGTACACAAACAGAAGGTCTAGTGGAGCGGAAGGAGAAACAAAAGTGAGACATCCCTCACTGGCTGACTCCATTACTTATAGGCGAAAAGTTTTCCTTTTCTTATACGAATTAGGACGGTCTATTCGTTTTTTATGCATCTCTCTGGACGTTCCGAATTTTTGCCGGAGTCGTTTGGATCAAGTTTTTTTTTTTTTTTTTTCGTTTCTGCTTATTTAAAAATTTAGGGTGAGTTTGAATTGAGTGATTTGGATTCAGTGGCGTAACTAGAATTTCATTCAATGGGGTGCATTCAAAAAAAAAACATAAGCAAATATATTGACAGAAACCAATTTTATCTTCTGACTATCGTTGTCGTACAAAGTTATTGATTTTCTCTAATAATTCGCACGTCATAACCATCTTAATAAACTAGCTTTTTACCCGGCCCGTTAGCCAGAAAATTTCATTTTATCGTTGACATTAATTCAATTTATCTATATGTTCAAACTATTTTGGACCTTCTAAATTTATTATATTTTGTATTGATAAGTGAGTATGTGGTGTGTCTATATATTGAAAATTCTCAATACTTGGCACATTCACTTATAATGTTTGAATTCTCTAATCATAAACCATGTCACAAAGGTATACCACGTCCCATGTACAATTTTTTCTATCTTATATGAATCCACGTTGTTCAGATGATAATACGCCCCTGGGGGTGTATATTATCAAATTCACGCAGCTAACGACTCAATCGAAGAATCGATTGAGCTCGAATCAAGAACGAAGCGTTCTTAATACGAACTTGGATAAAACGGAACCAAAAGGACAAATCCACACCTGGGGATAGCTCGATTGGTATAAAAGGGTAGTTGCTCCACCACGATTGAAGGGAATATTCAATCGATACAAAGCTCAGCAAGTTTGGAATCCACCAAACCCAAAACAAGTCGCAACTTGCACAAACCAAACGGTTTCGATTTCTATTCAACAAAGTCTGAATTTTACAACGAAATAGAACGATATTTAAAGGCAAATAAAACCTAATACAATCATAGTATAACTAGGAAACAATTAAGTAAACTTCTACACTAAAAAGGACACAAAATTCGGGTTTAAACTTCCTTTCTTGAAGCACAAGTAAGCTGCCCGCAAAACAGTCAAAAGACAGCTTTCGTACTAATTATTTGCCTTGCGTTCGAGGCCTTCCCGAACTCCAATCTTTCATCTGATTCCTTCCCTTGCTAGATAAACATACCTAGTTTCATGTTTTGGAAGCCTTTTGACATGAATCCCATCCATGCTCCTTGAATTGAGCTCCAAAGTAGGCTTCAGAAAACAGTTTCCTGCCTTAGCCATTTTCTGGCAGTTTTCCAGTTTTGAGGTAGCAACTTTGAGGCCTTGGAAAATAACCTTAATGACATTTTCTGGATCCTCGAAGCATATCATTAGAAACATGGCAACTTTATCTGTAAAACAAGCCCTTTAAAGCCAATTTTCAGTCAACCAATTGTGAGAACCATGCCTCCAAAGTAGGCATCTCGAAACTGTCCCAACACAACCAAATTCTGCCTTTCTTCTTCCCAACTTCGATAGCTTCTTTGTCAATTAATTGTGACGTGAATGGTTGGCAATTTGGGATCATATCAGGCTCCCCCTCTTCAAAAAGCTTTGACCTCAAAGCTTGATCTTTCTTTTTGTCAAAATCATCACAGAATCGATCCCAAATTGGATCAAAAGTAGCCTACTCGAACATCTTTTTCGGCACAACTTTGGCAGCTTCAATCTCATCATCAATCGCATCTAGTTGTGTTGGTGCTTGCAGTATTGTTGGAAACGCTTTCTGGGATTGAAATTTACCAACATTGACGCCCAATTGCGCCGGAATACAATTGAGGAGTTGCCCAGAACTTCCTGCCGCAATGACGGACTCGGATGGTTGCTGCAAACTTGAGATTTGTTGATTCAATCCTCCCCTCTCCAGTTTTACACTCGAATCTCGTTCACCCAGCTTCCATATGAAGCTTCCAAACGTTCCCAGGTCTCGTCCAACCTCAGTAATCAGAGAAACGATGATTTTAGTTTTCCCACCCTTCTGGAGGTTGCACGTTTCTGCAGAACTCGGCGGTTCTGGAAAATTGGGAAAAGACCCATATGCTTCGATTTCCTTCTGAGTTGGATGTGCTCTTGGCTGGTAATCAATTCCTTTAACTATTAGGAACTGATCTGTAGTGGTGGTAAGGCTCCATTCGCGCTCAGAATCCCCAACATCATACCCGTTTTTGGAGTCAAACTCCACCCTTTGCAGAAGAGCTTCTGCATAATTGGGTATTTTGAATTGAAGTTTCTTTGTCTCGATTGTTGTTAGGGAATTCATTACTGGGCCTTCAAGAAACTCACCAATAGCGACGAAATCCTTAGACTCATCCTCTAGTTCATTGTAGGTTTCTCCAGAACGCTGACTCTGTTCTTGCGGAGGAAAACAGAGGTCTGGAACGCCGATGCTGTTTGCATCAATAACTGCACAGTTTGATAGCTCCGACCCCTTTGAAGCATTCAGGGTTGCTTCTTCTCCATTTACGATCAATCTCGAGGCAGAATTCGATGGGTTTTGGACATCCAATCGATCTTTTGGGCGAGACCAATCAACACTTTGTTTTCGCTGAATAAGACTGAGATGTCTATTGATGGCAGCATCTAAACTCCGATTAAAGTCTCGCCTGAACTGCCCCAATTGTACCTGGACTATCGCATCGATCTTGTCTAACAAATCCTCCATGTTAATCTTCTCCATGTCTGCTCTTCGTATTGAAATTCTTCAAACAACAAAACCAAAACAGACTGCTCCTTTGTTTGCAACGAATTCTGAATTCGTACTAAACACATGCCGTCTTCTTCCCCTTCGCCCTTGTGTTGAACGGGGCTCTGATACCACTTAATACGCCCCTGGGGGGTGTATATTATCAAATTCACGCAGCTAACGACTCAATCGAAGAATCGATTGAGCTCGAATCAAGAACGAAGCGTTCTTAATACGAACTTGGATAAAACGGAACCAAAAGGACAAATCCACACCTGGGGATAGCTTGATTGGTATAAAAGGGTAGTTGCTCGACCACGATTGAAGGGAATATTCAATCGATACAAAGCTCAGCAAGTTTGGAATCCACCAAACCCAAAACAAGTCGCAACTTGCACAAACCAAACGGTTTCGATTTCTATTCAACAAAGTCTGAATTTTACAACGAAATAGAACGATATTTAAAGGCAAATAAAACCTAATACAATCATAGTATAACTAGGAAACAATTAAGGTAAACTTCTACACTAAAAAGGACACAAAATTCGGGTTTAAACTTCCTTTCTTGAAGCACAAGTAAGCTGCCCGCAAAACAGTCAAAAGACAGCTTTCGTACTAATTTTGTGCCTTGCGTTCGAGGCCTTCCCGAACTCCAATCTTTCATCCGATTCCTTCCCTTGCTAGAGAAACATACCTAGTTTCATGTTGTGGAAGCCTTTTGACATGAATCCCATACATGCTCCTTGAATTGAGCTCCAAAGTAGGCTTCAGAAAACAGTTTCCTGCCTTAGCCATTTTCTGGCAGTTTTCTAGTTTTGAGGTAGCAACTTTGAGGCCTTGGAAAATAACCTTAATGACATTTTCTGGATCCTCGAAGCATATCATTAGAAACATGGCAACTTTATCTGTAAAACAAGCCCTTTAAATCCAATTTTCAGTCAACCAATTGTGAGAACCATGCCTCCAAAGTAGGCATCTCGAAACTGTCCCAACACTTAACCAAATTCTGCCTTTCTTCTTCCCAACCTCGATAGCTTCTTTGTCAAGTAATTGTGACGTGAATGGTTGGCAATTTGGGATCATATCAGATGAGGACATCTTAGTTAGAGTTTCTTTGTACATATACTTCATTATTGGATAAATTTCTTCATCCCAATTAAAAGTTGATACTTTGGATGTTCATGAAGTTTACTGTAAGATCTTATTTGTATTTAGTTTCTTATACAATATGTATCAATTGCTAATTTCTGAAATTTAATTTGGACTAACTGAGACTCATTATCGTTATTTATATATTATTTTAGAATCTCAATCCAAGATACCTACATACGGATTTTGATCTTAATATGGTGCGTTAGTGTATAATTTTACAACTTGTAGAACCTTCGTTTTCTAAACTTCATTTATGTTTGGTATTTGTTTAGAAATAAAAATTTCATTACTTATACTAATATATGCATTTTTTTGTATGGCCACATTTATTGTCAATATATAGAATATATATTAAAAAGAGTTTAATTATTTTTAATTGTAATTAATACTTGTTTTTTACCGGGATTTGTAAAATATTAAGAAAATAAGGGGAAATATGGACAATTGTAAAAGAAAATAAGGGATGGAAGTACACGTTATAAGTGAGAGAATACTTGTTTTTTACCGGGATTTATTCTTACTTATCATCTTCATTTATCCAATGAGGTGATTCCTCCATTGAATTTTTATCAAATTATTTTATTCCGTAAATATATTATTAGTTATGCATGTGTTTTATTGCAAAAAAAAAAATGCATGTGTTTGCTAAGAAAGATCACACCGATGATCAACTTCTCTAATCTTGCCTCATTTTCATGTGGATGTTCATGAAGTCTCCTAACGATCTTATGTTAACATATGTCTATCAAGATACCCAAATTTAGTATATTATATAACATAGTAAATACATTTTATTAACCAAATCTTTCAAAAAAAATTCAAAATACAAAGTACTTAGCCAAACGTTAACTCCCCGTTAGCATTTTTGTTAGTAATGTTGACTCAACAACATGATGATGAGTTGGAAGAGACACGTGACGGTCTATAGACTATAATCCAATTTAGTACTTTAATTAAAAAGATTATTAATGATAACAAAAAAATGGTTAATATTTTGATGTGATACAAAATATTTGGCTAATCATTTGCAGTTCAAAAGGTTTGGCTAATAATTTAAAAAAACTAAAAGGTTTAGCTATTTAAATGTTATTTACTCTATATGTATCAATTGCTAAGTTGTCTCCTCCTACATTTTGTCACGACCGCT